TTTGTCCCACTGGGTTTTCCTTACAAGGTTTTTAACGAGGCAACCAAAAGGCGTATTTCTAAATATGTGTACTGTTTTTCCCTCACAAGGATTTTTTTTTTCCCATAGGATTTTTTTTTCTAATAAGGTTTTAACGAGGTACATTATCTATGGACATCCAAGGGGGAGTGTTATAAGAAAAATCAAATTATGGTGGATGTCTACTCTTCCTCCATGATCTTCTCAAATGCTTAATGACATNCTCTAGGGAAGGGAAAATAAAAGTTTATATCACGACCCAAATCTCAACCTGTCGTGATGGCGCCTATCGTATTATTAGGTAAGCCGAAATGTAATGACCCGGCTGGTTATAGCCCTGTTTCCCGTATTTCTGCTTCTTTTGTGCTTTATAGCTGTATTATGTCTTACCAGGTTGGTTGGTTCAGGTCCGGAGTGATTTTGGAGTGAATTGAGACACTTAGTCTCTTAATTGGAAGCTTAAGTTGAAAAAAGTCAACCTGATATCTACTTGTGGGAAACGACCTCGAATTTGAATTTTTATGATTCTGTTAGCTCAGTTAAGTGATTTTGGACTTAGGAGCGTGTCCGGAATATGATTTGGAGATCCGTAGTAGAATTAGGCTTGAATTGGCAAAAGTTGAAATTTTAGCGATTTTGGACAGTAGTGAAAATTTTGATACCAGGGTCCGATTGGATTTTCGGAGGTTGGAATAGATTCGTGGTGTCATTTTTGACTTGTGTGTAAAATTTGAGGTCAATCGAACGTGGTTTGGTAGGTTTTGGCGTCGTTTGTGGAATTTGAAAGTTTTAGAAGTTCTTTAGGCTTGAATCCGGGTGTAATTGATGTTTTAATGTTGTCTTGAGTGATTCTAAGGTAAGACTAAGTTCGCATGGGGTATATGACTTGTTGGTATGATTGGTTGAGGTCCCGAAGGACTCAGGTTGATTTCGGGTGGTTAACGGCTTGATGGGAGTTGAAGAATTGTAGCTGAAGCTGATGCTATTGGTGTAACCGCACCTGCGGAGTGGGAACCGTAGGTGCGAGCCCGCAGAAGCAAAGGAGGAGCCACAGATGCGTCTAAGGAGGATCTGGGCAGAGGACGCAGGTGAGATGGCATTCCCGCACCTGCGATGGTCGCAGAAACAGATTTAGGGGCGCAGGTGCGAGTATGGACCGCAGGTGCGATGTAGTTCCCGCACCCGCGAAGACCGCAGATACGGTCACTTAATCGCAGGAGCGGAGGCAGTGTGTGGGGATTTTTTTCTACAGAAGCGGGGCTTTGCCAGCAAATGCGGCTCCGCAGATGCGAAAATGGAGCCGCATGTGCGAGAAGTCTAGGCAGAACCTATAAATAGAATACTTCGAGATTTTTCACCCTTTTCATCATTTTTGAGCTCGGATTTTGGGGATTTTGGGAGAGGTTTTGGAGTAATCATTGAGGTAAGTTTCTTGTGCCTATTTATCTTCAATAATGGTGTTTCTGCACAGATTTTTCACCTAGTTGGTGAGTGTTTTACGTGAGATTTGGGAGATTAGGGCTTGGAAATTGGAGAGTTAATTTTGGGGTTTTGGAGGGGCAATTGAGGTCGGATTTTGATAAATTTGGTATGGTTAGACTCGTGAGTAAATGGATTTTGGGTTTTGTGACTTTCGTCGGGTTTCGAGATATGGACCCGGAGGGGCGGGTTGAGCCGATTTCGGAGTTTGGGCTATATATTTGTAGTTTGTTTGTGGAATTGATCCTTGTAACCAATATTGATTATCTCGTACTATTTGTGACTAGATTCAGGGCATTTGGAGGCCGATTCGTGAGGCAAAGGCATTTTGGAGTAGGATTTCTACGCGGTTGAGGTAAGTAACAGTCTTAAATCTGGTTTTGAGGGTATCAAACCCCGAGAATTGGTATAATGTGAATATTTGGAGGTGACGCACATGCTAGGTGATGGGCGTGCGAGCATGCACTGTGAGGGATTGCGACTTGGTCTGTCCCGTGAGACTATAAAGACGAGTAGCCATTGTTATTACTTGTTTTCCTTGTCTTTAAGCAATTGACTGCTTTTCATGTTAAAAACCATGCTTAGGCCATATGATATCACTGTTGGGACCTGCAGTGGTCGTATACTTGTTGAATTGACTGTTAATTATTGTCTTGTACTCAGTCACAGTTTTACTTGTGTGTTATATCTCTATTTCCTCTCATTTCTTGTTGATACTTGTCGTATTTTCTGCTTGGGCTGGTTATTATTATATTCTGTGAGCCCGAGAGGCTGGAGAGGTTAGTGACTGAGATAGGGACTGAGTGCCGAGCTACGAGCTGTGAAGTATATGGATCGGGTTGCACGCCATATATATATNCTTTATTTTAATTTTCTTTTGGTCTAGTTACTTCGGTGTATCCGTGGTTATTGACGGGACACACGGAATTTTTGTGCGTCTCTGTAATTTTTATTTATTTTGAACAACACTACAACTGTCTTTCATGTTTTAGAAGTTGGGTTGGTATTCTATTGGTCATGTATATTCGTACACTAGTGAAGTTGCGCGATAGTAATAAACTTAAGTAGACTAATAAGTGATATTTTTATAAATTTGTTGGATAAAAATAATTCTTATTATTTTTCGTATATAGAACTAAATTTTGTAATTGATTAAATCACAAATACAAATCTGTTCATTAGTATTATTTGTGGAATCTTTGAAGATGAGAAATTGACAATTATCTCCTTACCAAATCCACCCAATCCTATCTTGACGATTACTGAATGAATCGACATGTATTTTTCAAATTATAAAATGTTTAAAAATTAGCAGTGGCATTAAGAATATCATTAACTCCTATATATCTTTTTGTGTACAATTTTTAGTAACAACAATTGGGCATTTGAATAAATGGCAATTAGGATGAGATCTCTCTAAGAACTAATTTTCTAGCAATGGTATGACAAATGAAAGAGGGTATTTTCCATAATTCTCAAAGACAAAAATTCCACTTACAAATCAAATAGCCAAGGCACATTGCTTAAGAAGCAAAAGACTACTTGAACCTATGCTAATACTACATGCATCTAATAGGGTATGTGCATTTGGGCACTCAACCAACAATATTATCTATTGATTTAAAATTTTGCAATGGTAAGGTCGCAGTAGAATGGAAATGCATCAACCCCTCCCGACTCTTATAACACACAAAGCAATTAGTCATGAACTGCTTATTCTTTTTCGAATAGTTACCTTTTTCATTGATATCTTCCTCACAACTTAAATGAGATAAGTAGTATGATGAGATATTGAGTCTGCTATTCCAAATCCATAAGAGAAATTCAAATCAGGAAAAAAATACTAAGATAAGAAACCCAAAAATACTATGAAACTAAGAAAAAAGTCAAAAATTAAACCACCAAGAAAGCCACCATGAGAGCTACAGTATGTTATGACAAAGAACATGAACCAACACTATGCAAAGTTTCTTTCATATTTATGGAAGTCCGAGTCTTCACTCTAAAGCACATCTCCTAAGGATAATACAGTAATCTCCCATATTGTCTAGCAAAATCACATCCAGTTCCATATACATCCTGGCTCCCATTTAGTAAAAGTATAACTGAAATTTGATTCACAGTTAATGCATTAAGCTAAGTTGCAAGAATCTGCCGGTGGCTTTAAAACCATTATAGAAGGGAATACGCTGGCGTTATCTCGATGCAATTCAGATGACTCTCATAACATAATCTGTCATTATAAAGATAAATGCAGATTAGCTACTATAATTACTAAGAAATCAAATAGAGATGAGGCCTAGTTATTTAAGGATCATATCCGAATAGCTGTATCATCCGACAAAGGAAAGAAAAATAATAAGCAGTGAATAATTAACAGAGCCAAATACAGGGTTCAGTTGAGAGAAATTTAGAGGGATTGAACCGTTATCTATGTCCAAGTACCAAAATAGCAATAATTATTGTATACTGCAGTTGTTGGCAAATAGAGCTGAATTTATACAATGTTCAAGTTCTTGTTCTCATTCAAATAAGCATCGATAGATTTATCAAAAAATAATGAGAGCAACAATAACAAATTTTTCAGTTTATAGTTTAATTCTTGACAATAAGTATTGCACTTAAGAACTTGTGAAAACTTGGTATAAGATTCTTGATTAGAAGTCTGCACATAATACATGAAGAAACATAAAGGGGCAATATAGCTTTGGGGCTTGCCTTTTTCAAAAACACAAAAAAGGATGAACCACATCTTTTCCCTTGTCAAATAAATCCAATGAGGGAAAAACATTGACGCTAAGTAACTACTACATGAAATTTTAAAAAATGAACTTAAGGATACGCAAGCTCGCCGGACACGATTATTTAAAAAGTTAGTAATATACATAGAGATCACACATGCATTACTATTATGTATATATATGATATATGAGGAAAGAAGGAAATAGCAGATTTAATATTCTAACATGTTTCTCAAATAGAACAGGAGGTTGTAATAGCAAGACTACCCTGCAATTGAGAGGCAATTGACATGATTTATGTTTGGAAGAAGACGATTACGTGTTGCCTCTCGATTTTTGAGGCATTGTTGCAGACAAAATTGCTCCTTTCTCAGGCATTGTCATATGATAATAGATCTCCCGGCTTTTGACATCCTTATCATGAGCTTCCTTCACCGTGCGAGGCCTTTTTGTTTGGGACGATCCATTTGAAGTGTCAATACTAAGATCATCCTAAAAACCTGTAACGTTATAATTATTCTATTTCATCAGACAATCATTTACTACAAATAAAGAAAGAAAATAAAAAGATACCACTTAACATAGATAAATAGCAGTATGGTATAAAGAATATACTTTTAACACTTAACTACTTGGGAAATTACTTTCACTCTAGACGGACAATAGATAAATGCATTAGATCAAGGTGATGGTTGTGGAAAGACACTATTGGAGCATGTAGATTCAAGATGTCACTCATGATTAGGTGATGGTTGGAATTAAGATGTTGATCAGCTTCTCGTCTTCTCATTCTTTTCCTATTTTATTTTTATTTTGTTTAAGAGCTCTTCTGCACTTTGGCTTTGAATCAGTGGAAGCACTTCTATTATTGGTGCCACATTTACTACTTCCTAATTTGTTATTCAGGAGAATGGTATAAAGTGTAGATCATGAGAGGTACTGCCTAACATGACCAATAATTCAGGAGGGGAAAAAAGTAGTTAACATTTGCGAGTAATGACATACATGGCCTAAATGATTAATCAACATTGAGTTGTGTATTCACTGTTTTTATCTGTTATAATTTTGTTTATAATATATAGTAGACATGAAATTACTCTGTTAAACTAAATATGTGATAAAGTTTATTCAATCACATCATCTTTTCACTAAACTAAATATGGGATAAAATTTAATCAACATCATCTCTTCACTAAGGAGTAAAGAACACTTAGATAATAGAGTGCACACAAGAATATGAGATAGAATATATATCATCACAATGCTGTTGCAAAAAAAGTCTTTTTTGTGACCATCAACGATATGTTGCTGCGATATTAAATGCATAAGCCGCTCTCTAATCACACAAAAAGAGTAGAGCAGGAAATCATAATAGAGCAGAACAAATATACTAACACTAATATTGCAACACTTCTGTATAATTGAAAGATACTAAGATTTAACAGGAATTTTTACCACTATACAATACAAATAGCCGAGGCTACAATAATAATCTAATATAGTCTAAACTCCATATCACTAAACTATAATCAATATTTAAAGATATTGTTAATGAAGTTCGTTATCATTATTAAACATATAAGTAAAACGGCATTCTTGTTTTCCATATAAAACACATCCTTAGTTTCTCAAACTTTTTCACGTTGTTATGTTCCTTCAAATTTTGCACGCCCTTTTGTTCCTTTTCCGCACCATCTCCCATCAAGGGAAAAAATTGTGTCCTTGAGTGAAGGTGTAATTGTACATTTAGATCATGCAATTGAACGATCACAAGATATTCACTTCCCATTTTTTTTTAAAAAAAATCATGTCCTTGGTAATATTTACTATGAGAATTACCGACCTGTTGAGATAGCACCATTTCCTAAAGCCGTGGGGGTGGGCAATGTCTTCCTATAGTACCTTTTTTCAAACACTTCATGGGCGTCAAATATGCATCTCATGTTTGGTTCTTTTAAGGATATTTTATCCGGTTCTCCAGTAATGTAATGGTAGCAGCGAAGTGATTTAAAGATGGAGTCGAATAAAAAACCAAAATGCATATAACTGGAGGCAAAGTGAAAAAGACAATGAGGGAAGAACATAGAGGTTAGCATGTGAAATAAGAAAAGTAGATTGAAAAGCATAGAGCAGGAACAATAAAGAAAATAGAATAACGAGAAAGTGTAGGAAGAAACACAGTTGTAGAAAGTATAGATAGAAACCGTTGGTTTTTTTAACCGGTGTTTTTGACGACTGTTATTTTTTTGTGGCCAGAATGAAAGGAAAAGGCAAAAAATTATGATAAAAGATAAATGCAATTCCTGAATAAAGAGGCTTGCCACGTCACCGGCTCTTGTCCCTGCATTATATATATATATATATATATATATATATATATATAGATTAGAGTACTATTAATACATGGGAAGCTTCTCCCTTCCTCTCTTCTTCTTTTGCTATTGGTGCCTTTAATATTTTTTCTTCTTTTTGTGGTCCTTAGGTATTGTAACTAGCTCCTTCTGAATTCTAATAATTCAATTCAACACTATGGTGAAGGGAAGTCGCCTTCAATTCGAGCTGTTTGGGATTTGACTTTTTGGTCAAGTATAGTGTGTAGGCTGAAATAGGATATGACACGTGGAACCCAAGAAGGGGATGGACGAAAACCGAACGCAGTCATTCCGCTTGTCACTGGAAGGGATACCATTCATAAAGGTGTATTAAATGTTATGCGCCCAGTAGCATTTAATAAGGAATATTCTGCAGCATTAATAGCGACGACCCGTTACATAGAATTTGGGATCTATGTTTACCGTTACATCTTCATCAATGACCCTCATAATTGACATTAAAGGAGGGCATGATCCTAGGACCTCCTTCTCTAGACACAGCTATAAATAGTAAGCCCAGATATCAATGTAAAGGATACGAATTTCCTGGCTAAACTTGTAATGATCCAACCGGTCATTTTAACTTTTAGAAATCCGTCCCCTAAAATAAAACTCCTCGAACATGCTTTTATTAATTTATGACTCGCGGGGATGGTTGGTTCGGGATTTGAAAGTGTGTGGGTTGAAATCGGAACACTTGGTTCCTTAAGTTAACTTTAAATAGACAAGTTTGACTTCGGTCAATATTTTGAGAAAACGACACCGGAATCGGGATTTGACGGTTCCAATAGGTTTGTATGATGATTTTGGACTTGGGCGTATGTCCGAATCGGGTTTTGGATAACCCGGGAGCATTTTGGCGCTTAATAGTAAAAATTAACTATTTGAAGGTTTAAAATTCTTTAAATTTGGTTTGGAGCATGATTTTGAGTAATTGAAGTCTGTTTGGAATTCCGAGTTTGGGAATAGTTCTATATAGTGATTTAAGACTTGCACGCAAATTTTCGTGTCATTCTGAGTAGTTTAAGTATATTTCGACGCATTGGAAGTAAATTGAAGAACTTGAAATTCTTAAGTTTGAATCAATTTGGTTTAGGGTATGATTCTTAGATTTGATGTTATTTTACGCGTTCCAAGAATTCGAGCGAGTCCGTTTTATGATTTCAAACTTGTTGGTATGTTCGGGCGGGGTTCCGGGGACCCCAAGTGTCAATCGGACGAGGCTCGGACCAAGTGGAAAGTTGGGAGCCAAAAAATTGAAGCTTCGAGCTACTGTCAGAATCGCACCTGCGCTTGGCCAGTCGCAGGTGCGACATTCGCAGATATGATAGAAGCTCGCAGGAGCGGCACTCGCAGATGCGAGATTTCTTCGCAGAAGCGGAAAAGGAATGGGAGGCTTGCCATCGCAGGTGCGGAATATTGGGAGCACTTGCGAACGCGCAGGTGCGAGGTTTGATGCGCAGATGCGAGAATTGTCCAGGCGAGTGGAACCTCCGCAGGTGTGAGGCTTGACGTGTAGGTGCGTTCCAACCTCCGCAGGTGCGAAAGGCATGTTTGGCAGAAAGCTTAAAAGAACGAGAATTCACCATTTTTTCCCGTTTTCTCTCCCCATTTGGGGGGGGGGGGGGAGTTCAACTAGCAATTTGAAGGTAAGTTAATTCTACACACCTTGAGTTAAATACATAGATTATAGGTAGATTATAACTAGTAAATCTTAGAAATCAAAGATTTAGATGAAAAACCTAGATTTTTATAAAAGTGAGATTTTAACCATGAAAATAGTTATGGAATTGGGTAGAAATTATATATTTAAGTTTTTGAGATTATGGGTAACGTTTTTATCCAAAAATTTTTAGAATCCGAGCACGTAGGCCTGGGGTGAATTTTAGGAATTTTACCATTTTGGATAAGGTAATTTATTTAATAGATAAATTTCGAATCATTTAGCATATATTAATTATTTTGTATAATATTTGGATAGTTTTGGATTTTTCGGCGTCGAATCGAGAATTCAACGCGACGTGGTAATCGGAAAGTGAACTTTGAGACAAGGTAAGTCTCTTGTCTAATCTTGTGAGGGAAAAATTACCCATAGGGATTAAATTGAATAATTGTTGCTAATTGCGGGGGCTACGTACGCACGAGGTGACGAGAGTTCGTGCGTAGCTATTATAAATGCTAAAGTCCGGGTAGTTTAGGACTCAAAGCATGAATTACTTGTGTAAATTATATTCTTTGTTTAATTAATATTAATTGATATATATGAATATATTGTGAATTGTTAGATAAAAGATATTAAAAGATGAAAATCTCATATGCTTGATTTTTTATTTAAATTAATTAATTGTTAAAAGAAATTGTTCTTCCTCCCGAATTTATCTTATGATAAATATACTCTCCTTCCGGAGGTATATAATAAAAATGTCCTCCTTTCTTGTGGAGGGGGCCGAACGCCTCGACATGATAGATGCATTTATGGATCGTGTCTCACGTCTCTCGGCAGTGTACACGACACTCTGGATCGGGTCGTACGTCCTCGGCAGAAATCGTGCTTAATAATAATAATTACACGATACTTTAATAGTTATTTCAAGCTTGCGAAACTAATTGATAAATTGGAGAATCCTTAAAATTTAATGAATTATTATTCCTGCTTGTTAAGGAATTAATTGTTATTCCTGTAATGAGATTAATTGATAAATTGGAAATTATTTGAATTTAAGGAATTTAATTAATATATTGGGAATTGTTGTATTTGAAGGAATACGATTATTTCCGCCGGTTAAATAAATTATTATAAATTCTGTGAATCATGCTGATTTAGATATTCTAGTTGTATTTTAGTTATTATTATTGACCCATAGTGAGTGTCAAAGTCGGCCATCTCGTCTCTACCACTTTGAGATTAGGCTTGATACTTACTGGGTACACGTTGTTTACGTACTCATACTACACTTGCTGCACATTTTGTGCAGGACCTGAGGCAAGTACTAGTGGGGGTCCTATCGTCTTACACCCACGTTATCCAGGGGCAGAGTGGTGAGCTGCCTTTCTGAGTCGTTCTACAGTGTCTCTCTTTGTATTTTTCATTCTGTCTATTTTTATTTCAGACAGTATTTGAGGTTTTGTATAATCTACTAGATGCTCATACACCTGTGACACCGGGTCTTGGCACACACTTTAGTAGAATTTGGTGTTTTATTATTTTCTTGGTTTTTAATTTTGTCAATATATGCTTAATTTATTAAGTTGGCTTGCCTAGCTGTAGTGTTGGGCGCCAT